TTAGGCGATCCTAACTGCCATTCTAAAACGCATACAGTAGAAAGATGCCAAGCCTACTTAAGACTTTTTTTTATTTAAAAGTCATTTAACTTCTCTGGGCTTCAGAGTTCTCCTAACTTCATGCAATGCAAATGCTGGACTAAGCAAGCCCTAAGGGTGCCTCTTTGCTTAAAATGCTGTGATTTTAATGTTTTACTGCTCACGAGGAAGCCACCACCACATTACTCTCACAAATACGCGCCCTGTTAGAAGCAGGTGCCCTGTCTGTCCTCCAACCTCAGGCAGATTCCAGTGTCTGTATCCATCGTTTTTCATATGAACAGCATATACTGTGGAGACCAACGCTCCCAATGAGCACTCTGGTCAGATTCAACAAGTACCTTAAAAATGTATTCATGTTGTGCATCTGTAGCTTCAAACTGATGAAGTCATGACCCTGCAAGTCCTCATCAATCGTGAGCTCTTCTTCAAAGTCTTCAGTGCTAGTAATCGCTAAAGTACTAAAGCAGAGTCGAGTGTAGCACCAGAGAAAGCTTATCTCATCCTCATAAACGCTGACATGATTTTTGAGTGAGAATTAAATAAACGGAGTGATAGGTTCCTGTGTAGAATTCTCATAGTGGCTTCCACACTTAGAGGTTCTGATTTAATTGCTCTGGAAAGAAGGAATTTTAAAACACCTCAAATGATGCTAATGTGAAAACACTGGTCTAATAAAAACTTTGTAGCCTATGAACAATGGCCGGATTACCAGACAAAGGGTTGACAAGGCACCACAGTGAAGTCAATGTGTCATAGCTTTCTGAGTGTGTCTGGTTTTCATTCAGAATCTAAAATGATTGATTATATCATACTAGGGACCCAGTGCACGAAATTTGTGCACTGGGGGGGGGTGGTGTCCCTCAGCCCAGCCTGCCCCCTCTCACATACTGGGAGCCCTCAGGCGTTGACCCCCATCACCCTCCAATCGCAGGATCGGCCCCTTGCCCAGGCCTGATGCCTCCGCCAGAGGTGGGACCCCCATCCACCCTCCGATCACCTGATCGGCCCCTTGCCCAGGCCTGATGCCTCCGCCAGAGGTGTCAGGCTTGGACAGGGGACCCCCATC